GCTCCCATTCAATTTCGTTTGAATACTAAAAAACAAAACTGTATATCGTGGCGAATCAAAGCAATTGTGCAAGCACTCACAAAATCCCGGTTAAGCAGTGCACCTCCACTTCGTCCGTTTCATTAAGCTTGATGGAGCCCTCTTCCTGCGCGTACATGACACGATGGACACCGTCCGTCTTCATTACCACCGGTAAGTTGTCGTGGAAGTGCAGCACACATTCGGCGTGCGCATGCCCGACGCTGCTCAGCAGCAACAGTGCTAAAGCAAGGAACATCACTTAGTCTAATTGTCGCTTTCAGCAGTTGATGAACGTTGTGTTGCTGCGGCTTGCGGCGCTTAAGTTGTCACGAATGCAACTATGTGCTGCAAGCGGTCCACTTGGCTTTTTATTGCGATTTGGTTTTCGTGAAAGCATTGAGTGACAGTTGCTTTTGTTAACGGTATACCTCATAAGGGGGTGGTGCAACTAGAAAGATGTTTTGTTGGCTGCAGCAGCGCTTAGTATCGCCGTCGTTCGATAAGAAAACATCTGCGCGGTAGATATTGAGAAGCCGCCGCATTTATTACATACAAAGCTATTAAACGCTAGTTTCTGTTGCGTGCGCTCACCAAAATTAATACAAGCTGATGCCAGAGATTAACGGTACTTTAGCTCAGCGCAGTAGACCCGTAAAGTTATGCGAGGTATCTCATTGCCGTTCATTAGCCTTGTAAAAGGTTCTCTCGATAATCGGTCAACTTTTTTGGCTCTCCATTTACCGCTCACCAAAGAAAAATCGTGTTTGGGAATGTTGTGTCAATTTCGCGTACCGACTTCGGAACACATTCACTAGTCAGAGAAGTTTGCAAGTCGCACCTAAGTACTAGGATGTTACTCTTTCCCCAAGTTCTTTTTTGGTTTAAAGCCTCCAATTTCAACCCCACTAGGTGTTGCATAGGGTTTAGTTCAGGAGTTCCGTTTCTTAACAAGTTTTGAGAGATATGTGTGGTCATTAGATTGCATGAACTCCTATTTTAAGGTAATTTCTTCTTCGCCTATGGTAGCATCAACATCTCCAGTATATTAACATAGTATGGAGAACACACTTTTCTCTTATTCCGAATATCGGAGCAACTGCTGAGGCGGAAAGCATCCCCATAGCATTTGCTAGCTGAAGGGGCCTCCAAATCCCTTCCAATTGGTCTATTCCGCATTGTCTGACTGGATACTAATACCTGCAATATATTCTTGAGGTCCTTTGCATTCAAAGGATCGTCGAAGTTTTGGGATGTGGTTCGCTTTCTGCGGCGTTGTTTTTTCATCAACTGTGTAAATACACAGAACCATCTATGAGTGTATCGCCACAAGATTTATTTAAATTAACGCCAAACAAAAAATGTCGATTTCAAAATATTGGGCCAATTATAAAACAATCAATCGTGTGAATTTCATGACAACAGAAAAATCTCCTCAATATTCCCATGCACTTTATACGAGTGTTCGTGAGCAAGAACAACAATAACAACTGCTGTATACAAGCATACGTCCTTGTTAAAGGCATGTACTACATACATATGTGTGTCTTTATGAAAACAATCAAGGAAGGTTCTTGCAGGATGAGCAGCTTAAGCAGTGAAGCAATGAGAATGAACCTGTGCAGAGTACGGCAGTGGATTCCTGAGCTACCGCATAACAAGTGCACAACTGCTTACATATCTATAACGCGATTAACATTTGCCTACATTAAGGTGGTGCAAATTTGCCTCCAAAATATTTAAAGTATTAATTTTGTATGATTTAATTTTATCGAAGCCAGACTCTTCCTTTCTTTAAAATTGTTCTTATTAGCGATTATAGAAATATACATATTATATTCGCGAATATAGAGCTAAAATGTCTGTCAATCGAACCAATGAAAATGTTTCTCATAGTCAATGAAAATAGTTCCGTGTGAATCGCCAAAAAACTGGCGAAAATATTGAGTTTTGGACGACTTTCGATGCTTTCTGGTATGACTACCTCTGAGAACGCTTACGACGAAATTCAGCCAGTACTTGAGCATTAAATATGCTGGGATCGATTTTCTGGAACACATAACAAGTCATTGCCTTACATCGACGAGACGGGCGATCGTCGGTCCAACTAAATTTTAAAATATTTTTTAGCTCATATAGCACTGATTATGAATAACTTTTTCCTTACTGCGGTTATAGCCGAGTTTACAAGAGCGCGCCAGTCGTTTTTCCTTTCTATTGTTTGGCATCAATTGGAGATTCCAAGTGTAGCCAACTCCTTCTTTACCTTGTCTTTCCAACATAGTGGATATCTTTCTCTTCCTCTGTTTCCCTCGGCGGATACTGCGTCGAATACTGTCAGAGCTGGAGTGTCTTCATCCATTCGGACGACGCTGGGTTTCGGACCCGCCACGTCAAGGAACGCCTCCAATGAAAAGGAAACAACAGCCATGGATTATGAATAAAGCATCAGCAAAATCACAGATTTATGGGCTATATAGGTGCTTTTTCCTTGTTACCAAAAAATATTGAACCACCTTTATATACATACATACATATCTATAATATACATATATGTATGTGTGGCTAGGTATGGTTGCAGGCCGATATTTGCGCTGGCTTCGACAACAACAAAGCAGTGTAAAATCAGAAAAAGTGCACACAAAAAAAACGAAGCAACAACAACGAAGCGGCAAGGAATTCTCAGCAGCATGTCAACACTTTCGAGTATGTGTGGGAATTTTTCCGCCGCAGCGAAAATGAACAAGTGAAATGAGAATCCACGCCTACGCACACAAAAGCCGCACACCCACATACAGACACAGGGCGTGCATAGATATCGCCGGCACATATGTGCCTCCTGAAGAGGTGTGCGTGTGAATTAACGATTATTAATGCATGCGAAAGGATACGACAAAGCATAAACGCCGTTAAAGGAAATTAATTTTAATACATTTTATTCACTTTTGAATCTTTCCAAATACTTTCCTCTGCACATATTCTTCATTAATCCTCAGCAACGAGATGAACGTGTGAACTTGGTGGCTCAGGTGTAGCGCACTCGAGGACCGGCGTGTCAGCATATGAATGCATAGCGGAAAAGGAGTGTGTTTGTTCCGCTATCACGACGGCGATGCTTGTGTGTGTGTATGCGTGCAAATAATTTAATCATTTGCCTCTCTCCTGCTTCGCAGCGGAAATGCTGTAGTCGTGGAAGTGGCAGCACGCAAATCGAGTGACTGCCACACGCTTACTCTTCTGACAATTAAAAGCGGAAGTCAATTTGTTTGCATTTACAAGGATTTCCCATTGAAATGTTTCGAACAGTGTGGAACCAAAGGTATGGTCAGTCTGATAGCTGCTGATAGAAACAAGTTTTGAAAGAAATTTAAATCTTTTTATTAGCAAGAAATAATGGCAGATTTTATTCAAAGTCAATTTAATCCTTTAATGGATCATTGGTTTCCTCGGGTAAAAAACAGTTTTTTTCAATAATTATTTTATCATATATAAAATGAAATATTTTACTAGAATTTTTTATTGTTACAAATATACACTACATATTAACAAAGAAATTCTGAAATTTTTGGAAAGAATATCTTAAACTCGGCCATAGCATAGAAATAGCATCGCATTTCCGGTGAACCCTCGAGAAAAACTGCGCCGGCGTTGGCAGGATAACTCCTTACATGATCATCTAAAGTGAAAAATACGTGTTTTAGTTAAAACCTTAACTTAAAGGAAGGAAAAAAAATTGAAAATTATATCTTTGCCGACATTTTTGTAAAAAAAAAATGAAAATTTCGCGACATTTTGTTTATCAAATAGTTGTAATCGAAAAAATCCTTGGTCCAAGTCTTTAAAAGTTGTATCTCAAAGACCTGCGTAAAATTTTATGAAGATCGGTTGAGTAATTCTCAGAGACATCTTGCCAACCGATTTCAAAGACACAGTTTACTCTTTTAAAGAGGGAGCAATTCGCTCAGCTAGCCTCGAGCGCATAAGTTCTCAAGGCTGTAGCTACGAAACTATTACTCGCATCAACTTAGGAGTGTTGTTAAATTTAAAAAGAAAAAAAAACGATTTTTAAAACCCGTAAATCAAGGTAACCCTTTAAGTGGTTATGCTAGTCTAAGAATTAAAAAAAATCGAAATCTTTTTTTTTCACAATTCGATTGTTTAGGTATAAATACGTTAAAAAAATAATACCTCTTTAATCTTCACACAGCCAACCATGTGAAAGGATGGTTTAAAACACTGCACACTGATTACCGGAAGTATTGCTAAATGTATTGTGTCTATTGTCGGAAGTAGACAGCATTCCTATTGGCACCCCATAGAAAAGACTGTAGGAGCATGAAGGGAATACTAACTGGTCACGGTCTACTAGCGACACTGGGGCTGATAAATCGAGAAGACTGCAGGAAATGCCTAGGAATGGACACCAGGGAACCAATGCAGCATCTCGTGTGTACTCTCAAAAGCACGCTGTAAACATCTGGGGTCACCACAGTATGATGCACTGGAAGAGGTATCGAAAGTGAGGCCGCAGAGTCTGTTAAAATTCGTTTCATCTGTTATCGCAAAGGACCAAACTGGTGTAGCTTACCAGAACCCTGTTTAAGCCGTAATGTTACTTTGTACCACAGCGGAGATCAGTGTGACAATCTTCTGAAAAAAACAAAGTGCTTACAATAATTTGTCGCGCACTGTATTTACATAGGTTTGCGTATGTCGTGCGGAAGCGGCCTTCAATCATAATTATTCGCACTTTGTGCGAACGTGCAAACTTACAAACACACTCACGCATACGCTGGAAGAGTAATATTTGCATGCCTGCATGTACATATGTGTAAGTGTGTCTGTTCCTATGCATATGTACGAAACTGCACGCATTTTGATAAGACCCGCGCGTGTGTGTGTGTGCTATGCTATATAAAGCCGCAATAATTTGTACTACTCACAATCGTGTGGTGCAAATATTGATAAGCGTGCAGCAAATTAGTCCACCTCCCGTTATCGTTGCTATAAAAAGGCGATCCACGCCAGAGAAGTGCGATCCATGAATGCCGTTGAACAACAAAAAGATTCGAGTGCCAAAGTCAGGTCCAGTGAATTCAACGCAAACGCAGTGTTCGAAGGAAGGCAGGCGTTTTTCAGGCTCTACAACCGTTTAATAAAAAAATAAGCTCCACCATGTACCACTTTGTAAGTATTTGAACTAAATATTATTGATGTTGTTGTTTATTAAATCGTTCAATTAGAATTAATTTTTCTTCTTAATTTAGAAGATCAAAGCAGTTGTACTCGTTTCGTTCGTACTAATCCTCTATCTGCAAACGATGACTGCACGGCCGCTCAGCTCTCACGAACACAAAGCCACACAGCAGCCTTACGGCGCTGTGCCAAAGACGAAAGACTCCGACATGGCCACTGAGTTCCCACACACCATCGATGAGCCAATACTACACGAATTGGACGCAGCATTAATGAAATTGGCCAATGTTTATATGCAGGCGCTTTTCTCCGGCACACACACGGCTGAGTTGGAGGTGGAGTTGGATGCCTTGGAGCTGCGATTCTACGATTTATTAGACTCGCTTTACAGGGAAGACCGTATGTCGGAATATATGAAATATGAGGCCGAGGTCACGCATCAAATGATTATCTACAACTTGCTGAAGAGACTCTTTGGCTACGCAAAGGATGATGCGGCTGCGTAGAAAGCTGATGAAGTTGACGAAGCCAAGAAATGAAGATCGCATGAGCGGCAGAGTCAGCAGTAATGAGACTCGCAATGATCAGTTCTCAACTCAGCAGACTATTCGCGAAACAGGGGGGTTATTGTGTCTGGCAAGAGATCAAATGGTGCATGAAATCATTAGTGCTTAGTGATTATGAAATTTTGGTTTAACCGTGAGTTGTGGCATCAAAGTGATTAGATTTAAAGAATGCTTCTCTCATTAGTCCAAGAAGTGAAATTTCACAATATGCAAGTATTTTTATATAAATCTGAAAGTTATTGCTCGAGGTCGATATAATGGTACGTACTTATTGCAGAGACATAAATTGCGCATAAACTAAGAGCTACTGAATCAAGCCAAATTGTTATACTCACCCCTTAAATAAAAAAAATTATATATTTTAATAATGAGTAGTCGAAAAAGTCTTTTCGTATTTCTAATCAAACTTCAACTTATTTTTTATATTTATAATGAATTTTAATGAACCAAATATATATGCCATTTTGGTCGACAGAGACATTATTCCATCAGTGTAAAACTTTTCTATTTTCTCGGCGAAAACCTACGACAAGCAATTTTCACAGGCTTTTCTTGAAGCCAACTTTACTCCATTAAGGGAGTTCTGCATTGACCGAAACAAATGGTAGTCCGATGACGTAAGGTCAGAGCTATATTGTGGATGCATCAAAACTTCCCAGCCAAGCTCTCCCACTTTTTCCCGAGTCATAAAATATGTGTGTGGTCTAGCGTTGTCCCGATGGAAGACGGAGCCCTTTCTGTTGATCAGTTCTGGCCATTTTTTTCGATTGCTTGCTCCAGTCTCATCAGTTGTTGACAGTAAAATGTAGAATCAATCGTTCGACCAAACTGAAGCAGTTCATTTCCAATCCCACCAAACACTCAGCATAACCTTTCGAGACGTCAATTCTGGCCTTGCAACCATTTGTTGAGCTTCACCACGCTTTGACCATGATATTTTTCACACATTATTGTGGTATTTGGCCCACTTTTCGTCTGCTGTTACCATTCGCTTTAAAAATGGTTCGATTTCATTTCGTTTCAACAAAGGGTCGCAGATGTTAACTCGCTCTATCAAATTTTTCACAGACAATTCATGTGGTACCCAAACATGGAGCTCTTTTTTAGCCAGTCTTTTTTAAATGGTTCAAAACCGTGTGATGATGAATGTTAAGTTCCTCAGCTTATGTGCCGGTACTGGTCAATTTTTTCCATAATTTCAACTACTTTTTCAACGATAGGTCGGCCAGAGCGAGGCGCATCTCTCACATCGAAACTTCCAGAACGGAAGCAAGCGAACCATTCCCGTGTTACACTGAACTGTTACAGCATCGTCTCCGTAAACTTCGCAAATTTCATTGGTGGCTTGCGTGGCATTCTTCCGTTTTTTGTACACAAATTTCAAAATATAGCGAATTTCTTCGATATTTTCGGTCATTTTTGAACAGCTGTAACTATTTTGAACTTAAAATGAAGTTTAAAATCTCACCTTTCCAACACTATATGGTATGACATAATGTAATTGGTGGCTGGTGGAGATATACAACTGCAATGACATCTATTGACAAAATACGAAATGACTTTTTCGACTACCCAATATTATACTCACATCTCACTGCTTAAATAAAATAGCAGTACTTTTAAATATCTTGAAAATTTATTTCCACTTTTGGTTTGTTTACAGATCCATTCTTAAAATACTAATTAAGGAATTAATTGCTCTACTTTACTCTCCATTTTTCTTGGCAAATGAACGCTCTCTAAAGAATTAAATTTATTTACAAATAATATTTGCATGTCTCTTATATGGAATTCAAAGTATAATCTATTGTTATGAGAATAATCATTTCACAAATAATCAATGAAATATCTTTCCTTAAAATATGATCACGTGTAAATCCTAAAAGTATGCTTAACAAAAGAAATGACTTAAACACGCAGCAGCCAATGTGCGCTGACATTAATATCTAACTGTATTTTAGTTACAATTTAAAATAATAAAAAACAAAACAAGCGAAAACAAAATTTGTTAAACTTAAAATATTTGTCTTATTTGATATTACACGCTAAGTCAATCAGAACATCAAAATGAAATATCCATTAAATTTTTATATATAGTATATACATACAAATAAACATATGACAAAATTGAACAACCTTAGACGAGACTTAAAACATAAATCATCGCTTCACAGTTAGATGAAGCACAAAAACAAAATATGCTAATAAATATAATAATAAAGTGACGACGTAAGCCTTAGTAAATATGTACATGGGCGTAGGCTTACATCTGTCTCTTCCTATTGAACATAAGACTAAAATGCGAGTTTGCCATGTTCCAATTCAAAAGTTACTTTCAACACTAACACATGTACAAAACATTCAAAAACAAAGGTCAAAAATTAAATAGGCAAAGAAAAACCTTAAAACTTAACATTGACAAGTGAGTGAACAGAAAACAAAATAGTTGTTGTTGCACTGAAAAATCTTTTTCAAATTCATCAAAAAAACCGCCAAGTTGGTAAGCTATTCAGCACGCACCTTGCCGTCTCTAAATCGCACTTTGCGCCAGACAAAGTGGACCAGCTCAGCGCTTCACCACGGTCGCCACATATTATCGCCGTCCTCTTTCAGCTCCTGCAATTTGTGCTTTTGCTTAACCAAAGTGGCCTCCGATGACGTCTCATTGCTTTTAGGCAAGTCCAAGGCAATTTTTTTGCTGGCTGGTGCCTCGCACGCATCGCTCGAGTCCGCTTCATCGTCCAGCGAGCGCTTCAATGAGCCGTTCAATTCGACGCCACTGTCGCTGCAATCGTTGTTGTTGTTACTGCCGAGGCCGAGACTGCTGGTGCTGGTGTTGCAACTGTTGCCGGCGCTGCCGCTGGTAGAGGACACCTGTTGCTGTTGCAAATGCAGTGACAATTTGGCAGTGCTGCTGGCAGCTGACGAAAGCGATGCAGCGGAGCTGGTTAAGTTGGAGTGCGATGAGTCGGCGCTGTTTGGTGTGGAGAAAACACCGGAGAAGCTGTGCTCCTGTTGGTGGTCGCCGGTCACGTCGAGCGGTGGTGTGGCTGGACGCGAGCCAGTGAAATCGGAGCTGGTGTGCATCAGTGAGTCTTCGCCCTGGCTGGACACCGATGAGATGGGACTGAGCGGAGGGCTGTTGGTGGCTGTGGAGCTTTGATGGTGCAGTTGGTGTGCGGGTGCTGCAGCACGTTGTTGCTGTTGCTGCGTTTGTAGTGCGCTGGCAGCCAAGAAGCCGACATTGTTATTCAGCTGAGCGACATGGACTGGAGCGACCGCGTTCACCTGCAGTTGTGTTGGCGCAACTGGCGGTCGGCTGAAGGCGCTTAAACGCTTGAAATTCGCCGCAAAGTCGTTGATGGGGATGCCGGTTGCGGGCATGGCTGTGGGTGCTGCAGCGCCTGTTGTTGCGCTTGCCGCTGGAGATGTTGGCGCGGCGGAATTCCGACCGTGCGGAAAGTTCACAAATGGTGCGGCATTGTTGTTGTTACTCACAATGTTCGCATGCGCTGTGGTCGGCATAATAAGTGCGAATTCGCCGGATGGCAAACGCGATGGTATCAGTTGCACGCCACCCATTTGCACCGGTGGCATGGCCGATGCTGCTGCTGCGGTGAGATTGTTGCCGAAATTTCCATTGTTGCTATTATTGTTGTTTAAGTCTTGTGGCATCGGCGGAAAAAGCGCTGCAGGCGCGCCGGCAGCAGCCATTGTTAATGGATTAGCGGCCAAAGTGGCACCAAACAAACTGCTCGGGGCGGACATGCCCATGCCTAGTTGGCCGCGGTAGCCATTATTGAAATTGCTCATCGAGCCCAGTTGCTCCAAGTTACTGGCGCAGCTATTGAGGTGATTGGTGAGACGCTGGCGAACCATAGCATCAACGCCATCCAATTGGTTAATGTAACGATTGACTTCCTCGGCGCATTCTATGAAGCCGGTCTTGAATTTATGCACCACGGTCGGATCGGTTTGAATGGCCATGTTGAGCTGTTGTCGCTGAACGGATTGCAAGTGCTTTACCGTCATCTCCAGAATGTCGGCCTTCTCCAATTTTGTATGACGGGCGGGCTGCAGAAAGGAAACGAATGCTTCATAAGTATTTACATGACAGGGCTTTTTGAAAACAAATATAAGGGCGCCAAGTTTTAAAAATTATGAGTAGAATGAAAATAACCAATGATTTTATTATTAAGTAACTAAACTAAAATGTGGACTTTCTTCGTTACAAAATATTCTAGAAAGTTTTACTGCCGCTGGGCTTTTTAACAAAACTCCAGTCTTTGTTATGACATGAGATATGCTCCTGCTCTAAGCTCCACAGCTCTTCGCATTTGACGAAATGCTCGGCTATGCCTTCAAGTATTTCACACATTTCCGTGAATTGAAAATATTTTTTAGCTCTCGCTTGTTGGCTGCTTTTTTCCATAAAGCTTCTAATTGATTGCAATTTGTACGAAAAATCCCACCATAAGCGTTAAGCGAAAAGGCCAGACCGCAGAGCACTTCGCCGAAAACACAGCGGGGACAGCATCGGAAGATGAAAGCGTAAAAGAGGTTCAGTATGCAACATACATGCATAAACTCATGTGTACCACATGACATGGACCAAACTGACCACAAAACTGCTTATTTAGGTGCGAGTTAACAGAGTCCCTTAAAAATATCAGTATACCATTTTTGTTTTTGTATTTGGCTGCCAGAAGAAGCACTGATCGCTGATGATCGGCACACGATCGTGACAGACAACATAAAAATGAGCAAAAACAGCGAGCTGTGCAAGCGAAGACCGCTGATACGCGAACGGGTGCGCTGTTAGGCGATGTGTGAAGCTACTTGTAGCCGGTGGCAGATCAGCCAAACACCTATGCACATAGCACAGATCACTTATGGACAGCCCATGTGCTTTGCAACCGTCTGCAGCCGACGTTCAAGCAAAAAGCCGCAACAAGATGGCAAAGTGCAATTGTTCTGTGGTTTGTTGTCTTTTCACATTCGCATTGCTCTTATTATGCCGATGATCTCTGCGCTCGCGTGAAGCGGCTCTTCGTAAAGCGCTGATCAATGCACATGAATATATGCATACATACAAGCACATGCAACGTCCTCGTCGTTTTTCGCATATTTGCTTTGTTTTGTCTGACTGCTGAATTTTGCTGATTCACAACTGCTCCACACGTTTCTTTGTTTGTGTGCCTCGTGTGTGTGTGAGTCTGCTGACCAAGTTTCCCACGCAACACGTTTACCTTCGACTTGGTTTAAGCGTGTTGTTGCTTATATTGTTTACTTTTGCTACTCCTTCCACTGACGTCTGCAAGCGAGCGCCGATCTGCCTCACGATCAGCAACTTAATTCAAGTTCGCTCTCAACCAATGCGTCGACGATTCATGATAATGAAGATCACACAATCATTATCATATGCGGCATAATGGTCAATGGTGCTTCTTGTGTTGTTGGCGTTTTTTCTCACACTTAACACTCGAAGCCGAGGTTTTGCAGAACAGCAGGATCATGCATTTTTTTCGTTTTGTTTCCCAATATTTGTTCGTGTCTCATAAAAACATGCAAGTAGTGCTTGTTGGAACGTTTTTTCTTGGATTCTCGCTTTTATTCAGCGTCACAATGACCCGAAACAGGTTCCCACTCAATGGCCTCGCAATTTACTCATATTGCCCTTTCGCCTGTGAAACAAGTGATTCTATCATCGTCTGACGTTCGCTTTTATCAGCGCCGCCAGTGCTGCCGTCGGCTTCTTCACACACACTCAAAGGACATGCGTTTTTCGCTGAACCATTCCTCCCCAACTACGCACACGTTTTCTTCGATACGGTGTCTTTAAAAGAATTTTACACTCAATTTAATTGTTTATAATACCGAGGGAATATAAATTCCAACACCAAAACCACAAGGCGTATTGGCGTGGCGCACCGAAGGACACTGCGGCAACAGCGAGTCATTGTCGGCGAGAGCATTAGCGTGCGAACCACTTGATCTTGCTTTGATTTGCCGTTGTTGTTGTACTTTGTAATTGATTCTATTGAAATTTGACGCCACTCAGTAATTGATGGAAGCAGTTTAATGGCACTCCGCCACAAATTAAGTACGGTAACCGTTTTATCAGTTAGTTGCAAAAGTTGTGAAGCGAAAGGCTTCAGTCAGTCATTGTTTCGTGCAATGTGTACATACAAGTAATTATGCATTTATGTAGGTGGAGATTTACATAAAATGTGGAAATAATTATCAGTGAGTTTATTCGACCTATTGAACTCAGCAATTTATAGTCTATTTTAAGATTTCTTGCTTGAATTTGCTGCAGCTCTCCGCTGATCTTTGTGATTTCGCGGGAAAGTCTACAAAGTGGTTTCAATTTCCTATATATATTTAAAGGGCTTAAAAGAGGATGTGTGCTAAAGATACTATCAGCAAGAGTTATCAAAGCTTCGTCCGCTCTGAACTCAATCTCAAAGAGTTTCCCATTAAAGTAACCATACTAGTTCTACAAGGCGCTACTTGCTGGAGGGTTTACTGTTTTTAAAGAAAGTGGCTTCAAGAACTTACGTCTTTCTTCATTGCTTCCAGAATTAGTGATTTGAGCTCGTTTAGGCAATGATTTATGCGTGCTCGCCGTCGCTTCTCCATAATTGGCTTGTTCGTCTGCAAAAAAGAAAAAAAAAAGAAAAAAAGAGTGAGCAGCATGTCTATTCTTTGAGACAGAAAGCTTATATGGTGTATAAAAATTTATATAATATATGGTAAGTTAACAGTATAGAAGAAGTGCAGTGAATGATCTTGGACAGTCGATTCGGCTTTGTTTTTAAGTTAGAGTTAAGACATCTTGCTTTAAATGATAGAGGCTGAAGAATTTTTTTTATGACAAAAATAGGACTTGGAGCTTTGAGTTAAGTTTCCAAAATATGGAAATTCCGAAATTGTTTCGAAGGCCAACTGTTTGCTCCAAGACTCTTTGTATCTAATTTTAAATATTTTACTCCAAAAAATGAAAATTTCGGAGAACTAGTTTCGAATCGAGCTATTCACCAATTTTACTTAATTGTCTCCAAAGAGTTGGCACATTGAAACTTTCCGCAAGCTTCCGTTATGAAATTGTTCGCTAATGTCAAGCAAGATTTCTATTTTTTTAATCTATCTACCTTTCTCAGCTCGGCTTTCGATAGTCCATGCGGATTGGACATTTGGCCCTGTCCGTTGCCGTTTGCACCGTTATAACTGTCGCTATAACCGTTAGAGCAATCGAAGTCATCGTCCGAATGATAATCGTTTTTGTAATCCATTTTTGTAGCTCCAATAATTACAAGTTCCTGTTTATCCACTTATTTAACGATGTTGTACACGAAAAACACTACCAACAGCAACAAAAATGTTTGGTATTTTTTTATCAGCGACATAGGCGCACACAATAGTTTAAAATGGTTAAATTAAACTCTTCAAACACAACACTTATTAACAGAAAACTTTGGTCTACACAAGCGACTTAAGCGCAGTGCTTTTTCTTTTGCTTTTTATTGCACAAAATTTCTCAAAAACATTTTTCTTCAATCGTTTAGTAGTGCTTCAGCATTTTAATAATTTTTTGGCATGTTTTTTTTTTGGCTTCACAACACTTAACGAATTTCGCAATTCGTAAACAAAACTCTTAGTTCGAAATATACGCTTGCATGCTTTAGCGGTTTTTTTGCAGCGCGCACAACACACGACCACGCGCGTTCAACTCCAGCAGGATACTGATCATCAGGATAGCGCACACTCAGAACGATCCTTACGTTTGGCAGAACGGTGCTTACGAAGGCGCTACCAATAGACGAGGATCGTCACAGCGCCGTTGACGAGCATGCGCACGAAGTCACCGAAGCCAGGCAGCAACTGCACACACGACTTGCACACGAACAAACGATGACGGCTCCTTTACGTATAGCATTTTCTCACGCTCAGTAAAACCGGCTGCCTTTGCACTTTTATTACCTGAGGAGTGTCTGAGTTCGCTGCCAGCGCACCAGTGAGTTATGGTGTGCCGTTTGTTGGCGTGTTGGTGCTGACGACCGCGGTGGTGGTGGTGTGTGTGTCGTGAGACTCACAACGGCACAACTAGATGTTCAGCCAGCCAACAAGACTGTTAGCCAAAGCGCACAGGTAAGGAGGCGCTGTTGTCTTCTTTTCAGTTTGTTGGATGTTTGTAAGTGCCTGCTGCGCTGGGAGGCGCTCGCAAAAATCGGTGAGTATGTGATAGACGCGTCTGCGAAACTGCGCTTACAGCAACTGTGGCGGCGCGCTCAAGTCGCGAGTATGTGAATTGTGACGAAATGTATCGACGATGTGGCAGCGACATTCCAACGCGCGTTGTGCGAAGGGGGCGAAATTCCGCTGCATGGTCACTTTCCGGTTAACGCCTATGGATGTGGGTGAATGTGTGTGTGGTTGTGCTTGCCACGTATATTACCCCTATTATCATCATTTTTATCACAACATCAACGGCGTTACATACACACCAACAGTATTATTATATTAGGCTTTTCATTTATTTAAATGACGGATATGAGCGCTGAAATTGATACAGTGCTACGAAAGAGAAATCACTCAACTCAACGACAGAGATTTTCATTTATTCATATATGTTAAATATACTATATATGTTCACATATATATCAATTATACGAATCGGGTGTGTAAAGCCCCCGTTTAAGTGTAAAAATGTGATTTATTTTGCGGAAAAAGAACACCAAGTACCAATTCAAAATATTTCAGCGGATGTGGTGGCATGTAAAACACTGTTATATTCATACATATATATATATAAACTAACGGTACATATGTATGCAAAGCGAAAGAGTTAAACTAATTTATAACGATTTATGCGTTCATTTACGCCTTAAACGCCTGTGGAAAATTCTAAAAATCCCGGATTCACTGCCGGAAATTATAATATAAATTAATTTTATTTCTTGAAAAGGTATATTTTTGCTCAAAAAGGTGTTTGATATACCAGCAATGACTTCCCTCATAATTGGTGAATTATTAAACGGCAGATTTCCAATATATGCACAAAGCAATTCGGTACGCTCGCAGCCTCCCGACTCGCATCACCGCGCGTGTGAAGCAATCAAGGCGCACTTATGTACATGTAAGCAGCGTTCTTCGATTGGGGTGTCGGGTAGGTAAGAAAACTTTCTTTTGCTCTCACAATGCAATTGCACACACACACACAGACACACACTTTGGGCCATGCATATGACGTGCCTTAATATCGACAGCTGCACTGCAAGACATATCAGAACTGAACTTGGGCTGTAGCTAAGGAGGCAGGGTAGGTTGATCGGTCGAACGGTTGGTTGATTGCCACTTCGACGTGACGATATGGGGGTTGGGTTTTTGTGTGAGGCGCACCTACTAAGATTAAGATTTCGGCACAAAAGCAGCAACGAAAAAGCAGAAGTCATTAAGAACGTTGGGATGAAGCTGACGGTGGGTTGCATTCGAGCAACAGCTGTCGCAGCAATAATTAAAATTAGGCGTGGGAAAGTGTGAAATGCTTGAGGCTGAGACACCGATATAAATTCATAAATATACGGCTGATTCATTTAGTTTTATTTGTTGTAAGTCCCATACAATTTCCACGAGTCAGACGCGTTGTTACTTTTATGGACAGTGACAAGGCGCCTGCGCACAAGTCTACATGTAATTTTGGAAATTTGCAGCGTTTCGTATTTTTCAGCTGCAACGTTCGCATTTTGTAAAATAATGACAAATAGCAAATAATTAAAAATCCGTGCCAGTACTCGGCGACGGAGTCCTCTCTCCCACCATGAATCCCACACCGAATTTGCGCTTCTTTATATGGCCACTGTAGTAAATGCCACAAGAACCTACTCGCCTCAGTTCTTGTTCCGTCCATTGCATTTCTTGAACGGCGGTGATGTCGGCCTTTACTCTAACGAGGACACCAACCAGCTGGTCAGCGGCACGTTTCCAATTAAGAGACCGGAAATTCCAGGCACATGTCCTCAAATCATAATTATTAACACGTTTGCAGGCCTCGTCATCAAAAGGGGGGTCACTTTTCCGAGGCTGTTGTTTCCTTTTCATTGGTACGGTTTTTTTACATTGCGGGTCCCAAACCCAGCGCACAACCCTGGGAAGGGGATGTTTCGCCTTTTCTCTTTAGCTCGCCTTCAAATGGATGTTTTTTTTTGGCTTGACTTTGGAGACTTGGTCTAAGACCGGAAGTCGTGAGCTGCTTGAGCCATATGTAAAAGAATCATTTCTGGCCACTCCCAAGTGATTGGCGCTTAGAAAACTTTCCTTACTCGCGTGAACTTCTACACATGGCTCCATCCTCCTAAAATCCCCTCTGGACGAAAAAACTTACCAAACTTACTCATTATTGCAGTCTTACTATATGGTGTAGAGGTATGGAAGATGACAAAACCCGATGAGGCGACGTTACGAGTTTTCGAGAGAAAAGTTTTGCGAAAGATTTATGGTCCTTTGCGCATTGGCCACGGCGAATATCGCATTCGATGCAACGATGAGCTATATGAGTTATATGACGACATTGTTATAGTTCAGTGAATTAAGAGACAGTGGCTGCGCTGGCTAGGTCATGTTGTATGTATGGACGAACACATTCCAGCTCTGAAGAGATGTTTTAGAGATCTGGTGGAGAAGGACCTGCAAAGCTCAAATTTTAATGTACCTCTGAGTAAATAGCTAAAAACGGCGCTAGCTGGATTTTGAATGGTATGAAAAGAAACTTCCAACTGCATCGTAAATTACCGTTTGTCTTTCTAATTAGCGATATATCACGATATGCTGAAAAATTTCATCTTCAACTACAATTTGGGTATACTTCTTTCGGGACCACGCCCAGCATGGATTATGTGCACCGAACCCTAACTCCGACTGCAGTTCATTGACCCTACAAGTATACCGTTAATCATTTTTTCGCAGGACCAAGCTCCGCCAAGATTAACTCTTCATGGGCACTTTTCTGAACTATTTTTCTTTTCTTCTTCTGTATATTCTTGTGAAGATTTGCGTTTCTGTGTGCAGGGGGCATAGATGTACATCCTAGTATCGATAGCTACGTCTATATAACTACATAAAATTCACAATTATTGGCACCATATTTTGCAAATTTCATTTACGAATGTTGAACGCACGATGAGCACATTAAAATACGCAAGGACTCGGTGTCTTTACGCACAATGCGAGTTACAAGCAAAGAAATGCACTCACATGCATACAAATGGATGTATATATGCTATACTTGAAAGAACCCCGTGAAGTCCAATTTGGTTTCGTTTACTCGCTTTTGTTTCAACTTCTTTTGGAAAAGTGTGAGAAGGCATAAACTGGGCGCAACAAACGGAATCAATAAGCCGGTGCCGCATTAAGAAGCATAATTTTTCATTATTCTTCAGCTTATTTCCATGTGGTCGTCAACCTTAACCCCAAAACGCGGACGCGGCTGCCAGACGACCAGACGACCAGCCGGCACAACGGCTCACCGGTAGCCCTTGCACAAATTGTGGGCCACGTGAGAGCTGCGAGCACGTTTCGTACGTGTTTATATCGGCTGCCGCTTGGCAGGCGCGTCTATGCGCCGCGTAGTTGCCACAGATGTTTGCCACTTCTCATGGTGTTACAAACGCAATATGTGCATATGTATGCCTGCGTGTGTACGTGTGGATACACGCCACAACCGCGACAGATCATTAATCCATGAATTAAGTTGTTGTGGCTGTGGTTCTTGCTTGCCGTTTATTTTTAGCTACTGCATTAAGGCGTAAACAATGAGAGGCATTTGAGGAGTAAGGCTAATATCTACCCAACCTACCTGTGGGAACTTTTTTTCGGTTGTGCTAGGAAAACAGGCATATCGGAAACGGTGCAACAAATATGATTACTGTATAAATAAATATATGTATTTATATACGTATATTAGAGCGGGTCGAATTTTGAACAACTTTGTGAGAATCGTGAGAAGCTTCTAACATCTGTTTCCTTTTATTCACAGAAAGGATCATCTAGAAGACCGAACAGAATTGAGCAATTAATTGACATTAACAACTGATTCACCGCTATAACGTCATATTAAAATAAAAATATGAGCACCTAACACTGACATGTGTAAGTGTGTGGGTAAATGCGTCCCACACCAAACTTTCTTTGCCGTCCTGAGCTCATTGAGTCCTCACCGCTGAAAGCGTTCTCACCTAAGTTTCGTCAAAACAAATTCCCATGCATGTCAAGTTGTAACGCCACCCCACTCGCGTTT